CGAGAGGTCAAAAGTGAGCTTCCCCTGAGCACTGCCCATCTGCCTGGCTGCCTGTGTCTGTCCTCAGCCCAGCTGGGCAGTGGGTGATTGAGGTGGGGGATGAGCTGCCTTCAGGGGGAGGGTGGCAAGGCCCCAAGGCAGGGTGGGGCCAGGAGCTGGGTATAAATAACCCCTGGCCCAGCTACGAAGGCCTGGCCTCCCCCTCACCAGCTGCTGGTGCCAGGCAGTGCCCTTGCCCCCTTGGGAGCCTGGACACCATCTCAGATCGTAAACATAGGAACTAACTTCCTTGGCAGAACTGAGAAGTCTTGTCCTGTGTGGAGGTGGAACCTCCGGATGCCTGGAGACCCGGCCAACCAGGGGCATCAGAGTAGCCTTTCAGGAGTGTTCCTTCATTCCTTTCCTTGGCTTCAGGAATCAGCGAATACTTACAATGTGCTGGGCCCTTTGGAAGGCAAGAGTGTTGGTGCGTGCATGTGTGCATCTGTGTGTGTCTGTGTGTGTGTGTGTGTGTGTTCTGAGGGCAGGGGTTGGGAAACAGTGGGAGGAGACACAAACTTATACCAGGCAGACCAGATGGAATTGGAAACAAATCCGTTTGGTACTTTACAAATTGTAAGGTTTAGGAAGAATATAGAGAGAGGAGAGGTGACTTCTGTCTGGGAGCTCTTGACAGTCTTTGGAATGGAACTCCTGAGCTCAGGCAATCCACCCGCCTCGGCCTTGAGCCGAAACTTTTGAATGGAGTATCCTGGAAATATCCTTTTGCCCTTGCCCTTTGTATTACCTTGAACCCTCAGCCAGAGCAGAGATGTCTTTGTTCATCTATGCCTATGAGGATGGAGCTCTGATCAGTTATCCTTGCCAGCACTGGATGGGAAGGGGCTCTGACAATTCTGATTGTCCTAGAATGTTGGGGACAGGAGAATGAGAGGAAAGAAGTTGTTGACAAGGCAGGGGACAAAGTGCTGGGGTCATCGCCCAAACCCATTGTACCCACAGCAACCCCCATTAATTAAGGGCTTCCTCACAGGCCACGTGATGGATTATATCACTCATTCCTCCAATTATGTTCATGATACAGATGAAGAGACTGAGTCACAAAGAGGTTAAGGAAATCGCTTGAGACCAGCAGCAAGGAAATGGCCAAGCTGGATAAGAGATGGCACCCTGGCTCCCAGAAGCACAGTTGGTGGGCCCTGGAAAGAGGAAGGAGACAAGAGTTTGGTGGGAGGATGAACTCATCCTCTCTGAGGCTGGGAAGCAGGTCTCAGGGGATATCATACTTGGAGTCAGACAAAACCAGGGTTTGAATTCTGGCTCAGCCACTTCCTTGCCAAAGTCACCCAACTTCTCTGTACTTCAGTTTCCTCATTAAAATAGGGATGACAACACCAGCCTTGCAGAGCTGTGAGGAGGAGGAGACTGCTGCTGTGCTGTGCAGCGGGAAGGACCCCCGGGGCTTCTTCCTGGGGGCGTCTGGGAGCTCTCAGGCTTCTGCATCCAACTAAGCATGCCCACCAGTGCCCAAGGTCAGGTGCTCTGGGGAGCTGGGGAGACCCTCCCGGGCCCCTCTGGGAGGGACTGATGAAACCAGGGGGCCCCTTGGAGAGTCAGAGTGATGAGCAGCCTCACTGAGAGTGGAGTGGAAAGCCAGAAGGGGCCCTCACTCCTCAGCCCCGCTTCCCCGCAGTGGGAGGCAGCCAGCCTGGCACCGGGCTCCTGTCTGCGGACCTCTGCTTTTCATCAGTAAAGTGGGCTTTGTGCTCTCATGGCTCAGCCTGCAGCTTAGCTCGAGGGTGCCCAGGGCTGTGGAAGGTGCCAACAGGTGTAAGGCAAAGGCTGGGAAAGGAGAGGAAGGAGGGGAAGGAAAGCAGTGAGAGGGGAGGGGAAGGGCCCCCCAAGTGTTTCTTGTACCAGCTTCAGCTTCCTGCACCACCCCAGCTGTCCCATATGGAGCTTTGGGTCCTAAACACCATAGGGGGAGTGGGCCAGCCTGATTTAGAAGACCTCTGAATTAGTCTTCTCTTGAGCTGCCCATCCAGGATGGTGCCATGCCAAGTTGTCTACACTGAACCCTTGCTCCATCCCCTGTGGTTGTAGGGTGGCTGAGGCAACTGGCAGGGCAGGGCCATGTACCCATCAGGGCTCTCAGTTCAGCAGCTCTAGCCTCCTAGGGCAAAGGCTCAGCTTTGAGGCCCAGGGTACAGATGGACCAGGCCTCAAGCCCTGCTGTCCCCTACCCCATGCCAGGATACTAGCAGGCATTGTCCAGAAGGCAACACAGCCCAGTGGTTTGCCCCATAGGCTCTCTAGTCAGAAGACCTGGGTTCCGATGAGCAACTCCTTGGCAGTTCTGTGGTCTGGCCTGGTTAATCAACCTGCAAGTCTAAACCCTAAACCAGGGTTCTAATAATGAACCTATTATGTGCTACAGTTGGTATGAGGCAAACCCAAGGAAAGGGCTCAGTCCAGTGCATGCCACAGAGGAAATCAGTAATTAGGCATTAGCAGTGATAAGTCAGGATTTCTGGCTATTCTTCCCCTGCCCCAAATAAATGAACAAGTAGAAAAACAAGGGCCTGCCTCTCCTGCTAACTATTGAGCCCAGAGATAGCCCAGGGAGGGTGGGCACTGTGCCTTTTTATGGTGGCCAGAGGGCTCTGTTCCTTGGGATCTCTGTGAGTCAGTTAAGGCTGACAGCAAGTTCACATCCTGGGGAAAGCACACAGCACACTCTGATCTACCACAGATCTGGCACCAAAGAGCCTTGGGCATGCTAAATTGCTCTCCAGGACAGTGCCTGTGGCTCAAAGGAGTAGGGCGCCAGCCCCATATATTGGAGGTAGCGGGTTCAAACCTGGCCCTGGCCAAAAAAAAAAAAAGCAAAAAATAAAATAAAATAAAAATAAATAAATATAAACCTTGCTTTCCAAACCTCAGCTTCCTCAGCTGGGAGATAGTGACATTTTACATGTTCAAAGATTGATCAGTAATGTCGCAAGTGGTAAAGTGCGTGGCCACAGTAAGAGTTGACAAATGGTAGATGTTTGGTTCATGCCTGTGTCTAGCCCAGAAGCTTTGTGTGCTACTTCCTGTCCCACCCCTAGGGTCCTCTCCTGGATCCTCTTTCCAAGGCTTCTATCCATCAGGTTTTTATTTGTTTGTTGTTTGTTTGGGCTTTTTGAGAGTCTCAAGCTGTTGCCCTGGGTAGAGTGCTTTGGTATCACAGCTTACAGCAACCTCAAACTCTTGGGATTAAGCAGTTCTCTTGCCTCAGCCTCCCAAGTAGCTGGGACTACAGGTGCCTGCCACAATGCCTGGCTATTTTCTGGTTGTAGTTGTCCTTGTTGTTTGGTAGGCCCAGGCTAGATTTGAACTCAGCAGCTTCGGTGTGTATGGCTGGCGCCCTAACCACTTGAGCTACAGGTGCTGAGCCTGTCCATCAGTTTTTGTGAGAGACTTGACCTAGGTCAGTGCCAGACCAAAAGCCTTGGTCAGGGCTGAATACAGAGGAAGAAGGGATGGGTCCCCATGTGCTTCTTCCAGCTCTGGCTGCTCCTGACACAGAGCTAATTGCAATTGTCCTTGGAGCCCACTGAGACCCATGTATCATTTTCTCAGCTTCTGCCAGAAAATGTCATTTCTGCTGTTCCTGTGCTGAGGGAGAAGAAAGGCAAAGTGGTGATTCCTGCGGTACACTGGTTTCCTAGTATTTTAAACTTTCTCCCCATCCCCACAAGACCATTCCTTCTATTGGGTCTATAAAACCTGAGAGAGGTTGACAGGATATTGATTGAAAAATGAGGGGCAGAAGAATGGGTGACTTGACCAAAGTCACATGGTATTAGGTGAGGGGAGTGAGAGCTGAGATCTTTGCCCTCTTGACTCTGATCTCAACTTGTCTGGAAACAAAGCCACACTTCAATCTTAAGTGAGAGAAGCGGTGCAGCTCTAGAAACTTCTAGGGAACTGCAAAGATGGTCATGGAGGCCCTGGTGGACAGGAGACCTGGTGCAAGCTTGCAAGCTGTAGATTCTTTGTGTGTGTATGTGTGTGTGTGTGTGTGTGTGTGTGTAGAGGGACAGGAGGCCCTGGGCTGGGCTGGCAGCATCTATGGAAGAGGCTGAGGGGCACTGCCACAGGCGAGGTGTGTGTGTATGTGTGTTTGTGTGTGGGTGTGTAAACATGAACACAACCAAGGGCAAGCTCCCTGCTGGGACTGATGCTTCTCTGCTTTTTTTTTTTTTTTTTTGAGACAGAGCCTCAAGCTGTCCCCCTGGGTAGAGTGCCGTGGCATTACAGCTCACAGCAACCTCCAACTCCTGGGCTCAAGCGAGTCTCCTGCCTCAGCCTCCCAAGTAGCTGGGACTACAGGCGCCCGCCACAATGCCTGGCCATTTATTTATTTATTTATTTTTTGGTTGCAGCCATCATTGTTGTTTGGCAGGCCCAGGCTGGGGATTCGAACCTGCCACCTTAGGTGTATGTGGCTGGCGCCTTAGCCGCTTGAGCCACAGGCGCCAAGCCTGCTTCTCTGCTTTTTATGAGATGCTGCCTTCCTCCCTTCGATGGGTTTCTTCTCATGAGTTACTGGAAGTCTCCATATGGCCCCAGAATCTGGAACTGCCTAAGAAATTGCCCAGCCCAACCCTTTAATGCTCATCAGGGAAACTAGATCCAGAGGCTGAAAGTGACTCTATCTGGGTCCCAAATACCATCTTTGCAGTCCAGGGTTCTTCTTATGGCACTACACTGCCCTCAAGAATCTCCATGAGAGGTTTCTCCTCGTCCCATCCCCCTGCAAGCTAGATAGGCCTGGAGGGAGGGCGCCTTGAGGAGCAGCATGCTCCTGATGTCAGAGGTAGCATGTTTAGGTGCCAGGTTCTTAAGCCCTCCATTCCTCCACCTACTCCAGAGCACTCACAAAGAAGAAACAGTGCCCGTGACGGGCTGCTTGCTTTGTGCCTACAGTGCCACTGCTGTCTGTCTGCCTGCAGGTCCTTGGCCCTGGGCCAGCAGTACACATCTCTGGGCTCACAGCCCCTGCTCTGCGGCTCCATCCCAGGCCTGGTCCCCAAGCAACTGCGCTTCTGCCGCAATTACATCGAGATCATGCCCAGCGTGGCCGAGGGTGTGAAGCTGGGCATCCAGGAGTGCCAGCACCAGTTCCGGGGCCGCCGCTGGAACTGCACCACCATAGATGACAGCCTGGCTATCTTCGGGCCTGTCCTTGACAAAGGTACTGTCCCCAGGCCAAGTGGGAGGTGGGGAAGGGACTGGGTGAGGAACGGGTGTCGGGAGCCTGTGCCCTAGCACCCTAGTCCGGGGTCCCCGGGACAAGGTGATAAAGATAGTCATGACCAGGGCGGGGCCTCCATGCAAAGTGGGTTGAGTCCCTCTCTGGACAGTTCCAAGTTGTCACCATGGCTGCTACACTTTCCCAGGTACTGGTGGACCTGGACAGCCTGAGATTCTCCAGGGTCCGGAGATCTGAGGGCAGGCACCAAGCCTTCCTCCCTGGCTTGCCCAGAAGTGACTCTAAACTTTGATGTGGACACTTGCCACATTTTTCCAATGCTGTGTTAAGTGCTATGCAAATACTGCTTTGGGACAGGGTGGGAGACATTGCCACCCTTAGGACCCTCCTGTATACAAAGTCCTCGTGAGCTGAGGAAAGTGCCTGGCTTCAAGAGGGTTTCTGTTGGTCCCCATGCCCTGTAAGCTGGATATTCTCATGAATTGTGCCAGAGGGTGACCTCTGGGTAACTTTCCAGCCATCTTGCAACCTGGGAGTCTAACTGGCTGTGCCTCAGGCTTTGAACCTGGAGGGAGGGATGAGCTGGCAAATGCTCCCAAGAAAGGGACTCGGGGTCATAAATACTGTATTGAAAATGGGCGATTCTTTGCAGAACATCAGTGCCCAGAAGGGTAATTACCCTAGCTGGGCTGGCTACGACTAGAGCTTTGCCACCCAAACCAGACCCTGGCTTTCCTTCCTTTCAGAAAAGAGGCTGTTGACAGGAGCTGCATTTACAGCTAGAAAGAACTAGGGGCTGAGAGCCAGTTGGAGGGTGGGGCACAGAGCGGGGGATGAGATGACACCCCCATTTTAGAGTCCAACCCCTCTTTACCTGAGTCTCAGGTGCACAGGGTCTGGCCAACCTACAGGCAAAACGCTGGCTATTGTCATGGGACAGAAGGGTAATTAGCAAATCAATGGATGATGACTATGTTTACGCTTCTATTACCGAAGCTAATTATTCCTTGTTGACATAAAAGGTCTGGCCTCTTAATTGGGGCCAAGTGGCGGCGGTTTGCATTTCAAACCTAATCTTGTTGGTGTGTCAGTCTCATCGCTTTCCGGTGCTCCTCCTCGGGCCAGGTAGCTCTTAGCCCAGCAGCCTTGCGTCTAGACGCGCTCCCCAAAGCAAGATTCACCTTCGGATTGCTCTGCCCTCTCGGGACATTAGCAGGAAGAGTCGGGCCTTTGAGCGTGTTACCCATTCATCAGGGGCTTAAGGTTTAAGTCACCGTTGTAGGTTACGGCAGACGCCCTCACCCCGACATTTTGAGAGGACAGGTTTGTGTTGCAGGGAGAGGTTGTGAGCGCGGTCTATGTTATACACTGGGGAATTTGCTGATGGCCATGGAGTAGGTGTTCCGCGTGCACACACACGCGCGCCCCAGTGCCCGGTGCGCAGAGTCGGGGCGGTGATCCCGGGTTCGAACCCTGTCCTAGGCCCACGTTCGTACTCCTCCTCTGGCGAGCCCGCACCCCAGCTGGGTGAGCGGCCCCGGGTTAATATCTGCCCTCCGCCTGGAGCCCCGGGGGTGTCTGGGAGTCTGTCTGCTCCTGGGCGCGCGCCTTCCCTGCGGCTAAGGACGACTCCTCCCGGCGGAGCGCAGAGGACAGGCCCGCTGAGGACTGCCGCCGGCTAGGGGCTCGCACTGCCCCGCGAGCCGGGGGGAGCTGGGGTCGGCGGCCGGAAAAGGAGAGGCCGCGACAGCGGGGCACAGGCGGCCGTGCGGCGGCCCCGAGGCCGCTTCC